AATCTCTGGCTGCTTTCTGCTTCCATTTGTTGAATTTCAGACTTGCAAAACGAGAAGTCCACTGGCGAGAATGTGTAAACCGGCACCCAACTTGAACTCTTTTTCCAAAAGGAGTCGACCAATAATGTGCCCTGTTCTCAGTCGTGACCTCTTATAAATATTCCGATACTAGGTTATCCAAAAAGCCTTCCCGCGGTTCTTTCTGGTTTTTCTTGTCGACTTCCATGTCTTTAGGTCTATCTTGGGTCCGATCTACGAGAATGACCAAATTAGTGGGCATGCTCTTCATACTTAGCAACGACTTCTTGTAGACATTTCATCAGTTTTTGAAGGTTTGGAAGAAAAGCAAATACATGTTGGTATCTATTTGGATTTGGGGAATCGCCATATTAATTATTCCAACTATGATCAATGTATCTCGGGCCTGACGAAGGTGTCTTACACCGAAATATCGCATAAGGTTTGAAAAGGAGTTCATATTGGACTGCTTTTTGGAATTTTTGGAGAATTTGGGGTTTTTCTGAACTTTTGAAATTCTTTTGGATTGAATTCTTTTTCTTCTTTTACATCATTTAGGCCCTGATGAGCCTCCGAGACAGCCTTATGCTAACAGAAACGCAAGTATTGTTAGCTCGCACTCACCAAAATTGTTAAAACGATATTCTCAGCGTCAAAAATATTAAATTAAAATTCATAGATGAAATGACGATGTTTTCAGCCTAGAACGAGACCCATATTGATTGAATGCCGTCATTTGTGATTACTCTGCGAGATTTCTGTCGGAATTGCTTCGGCGGATTCATGAAGCGACACGGTTGAATCAGCTGTGTAAGTCGACAGCTGCGGAAACGTAGAGAGTTAAAATTCCGAAAATGAAGATATTTCAGTTAGGACGCGGGTGCGATGATCCTGGCCCTATTCGAAGTGTTCTTCGTTAGCTACTTCGCCGAAGCTCAACAATATCAGAGCTGCGCCAACGGAGGGATCGGGCGTGAGTGTTTAAATGTCGATGGTTTCTATGCCTCTTCCACTGATTATGCTTTTTATACAGATGTGTGACAGCTGATATTCGATAGATTAATTATCATAAAAAACAATTTTAATAGGGAGGAGAGCAGGGCATAAAAATCAGAGGAGAAGTAGAAATGGTAGGAATAACAACAACTGGAAGTTGCTCTAAGAAAATTCCTCCTTCCCGTTTTCCAAGCGCTAGTGAAGTCCTTATTCCATCGTTGCTGTATTGTTCGGCTCCTTTTTTTCCACTCAAATATCACCAGAACTGTAACTGGTAACACAATTGCCGTAAAGCAGGAGATCCGCGTACGAATCACGGCTGGGTGGAAGTTTTGCTTATGAATCAGCATTCTTGTGATAACGTTTGCAACACGAACTGCGGCGTAATACACTGTTTACCCTAATAGAGTAACTCAGAAATTAAAGGCAAAAGTCGGGCTCAATAAGGGGGTATTATGGCGATTGAAACTGAGTATAGAGATGCGAAGTGGAACGACAGTGGAGAAAAAACTGAGAAAAACCGTCGACAAGGCCGTTAACAAAACCCTCTTTCCCACTAGCAGTGAAGGAGGCTGGCTTGGGAAGAGGCACGTACAAACAAGTTTTCTGGAGATGTCAGTCGTTCTATCGGTTGATACGGCAATCAACCTAGCTGATTTCACACGTTATGCCAGCCACGCACCACTTCCGGAGGTGGGCGGTCCTGGATTGACCAGGCGGCCCTGGATTGAAACCGAACGCCCCGGGGCCTTAACGGGGTTTTTCAAGGTGGGAAGTTGCTGCAATGTGTGCAGCTACCCACATACAACCTCCAGGCATGGGAAGGTTACTAGAAGACCATCAAGAAAAAAGAAAGAAAAATATTCGAAAACGTTTGAAATAAGAAATTTTTCTTGTGACGAGTTTACGAAGCAGCCAGAGAGACAGTCTGTCTAAGAGGCAGCTTAGGCCAGGTGATAGGCAAGGAAAACGAGGAAGCATAGTAGGAAACGAGAGCGCAAATCCTACGCCACTCAAACCACTGTATCGAGCAAAAAGGCAGATGGTCAGTGACGATTATGAAAACTTCTAAGTGCCATACGTGCGTACTTTCAGGCTGCGACAACGGCATAGTTTCTATGTTTCTGGGTAGTTATGCCCTATTCTGGTAACCTGCCTGCACCTGCACCCCTTTTCAAGCTACCTACTGTCAATATCGTTACCCTTTTGATTACTGTTGTTGCATAACTGATGCTGAGCATGACCTCGCTGATATCGGTAGGCACGCATAGATACTCCGGTGTGCTATTCTAGGCATTCTACCACTGAACACCTTTGTGAAGGTGAATGAATTCTTTTGAGACTGTAATATGCAGCTTCACAGAAGAATTCTGCGGGAGATAAAAGGATAAAGGATAAAGCATTTGCCGTTGATCAATCCCTTTTTGGGATGCGGCACGCATTCTACTTCCATTTGTACATTCGTAGTGGCGTTTGAATGCGATGTGGCCTATACAATGACTTGCGGGGGCCAGCCGATGTACAAGTCAGTGTTTTTACCCAGACAAGTCTGGTACCAATTAACCGACCCCGGAGGGATGGAAGGCTTGGTTGGCCCGGGCGACTCACGACCCAGGATTTGATCCCCGGACCGCTCGCGTGGTAAGCGTGCCACTTGCCACTACACCACTTCCGCCCACCGTGATACTCCCAAAAAGCCATCGCGCCACCCTTCCGCCTAAGCCACCATATGTGCGACGTATGGAATTGTTCCAACCGCATTCATTGTGAAGTGTGCCTTTCATTGTTCTCACGACTCTTCAAATTATACATTCCAAAAACGCACTTGCGATCCCTTAGCATCCACCTCCCCCTCCCCTTCACTCACAGTACTTCAATTATGTGGGAGCCTCCCATGCGTGATTCACCCTGTTTTCTATAGTAAAGTGATATTTGGCGGAATTCCAAAAATTGAAAACTTGATTATCGTGACAGACCTTGATAGAAAAGTCCGAAATGTCTTAAAAGAAAACCCCGTTGGGATAATTATTGGTCCATGACGTACTTACTGAGATACGAAGCCGTCTTATGACGCGGTTTTTCTTTCCAAAAATTTGAACAATATAGGAGAATTCCTGACTTATAACGTTAATGCCATCAAGATTCTCTTGTCGTTCAAAAAGGGAAACGTATCAATCTTCCGGTAAAATCTTCCAAACACCACATGAAAAAAGTTTTTTTTTGTTTGGACAAAATTGAGCATCACACTTCATTGGTTCAGCTCAACTAGAGCGATGATTAAATGTAAATAGTTCTGTGGTGGAGTTTAACATTGTTACATTACCTAAATCTCATGCAAATCTGGAATTAAAAACTAAAAATTGAAATTATTGAAACTTATGCGTGGATTATATCGGGTTTGATAAAAGCGCTAGGCTTCGACCCTCCAGAAGGAGTTTAAACTTCTGGCAGTCCATAACCAAAATCTGAGTGAAATATCAAGGGTTTTTAAATAAATAGATAAATAGATAGATAAATATTCAGACGTTTTAAATACTGGCGAGTCTCAGTTTCCATCATTGTTATTCAGCTTGCGTTGATGGCACTTGTCCATCTCCGACGACTCAGACCTGCATCACAATTGGACCCGGTCAGCAAATCTGTTGTGAGAATTCGCAGGTTAGTAACCACCCTACCAACGAATCTCTTCAGTGTCTAACTTCCAATAGAGGCTCTTGAAAACTCAAAGTCGGCGCGATTCTGCATGCCCTAATAGCGAAAACTACGCTGCAGTGAGTACGCTTACCTTGAAGGCGCAGTAGCGTTAGAAAGTGTTGCCGCACCCACGTTTTTCGAGCCCGTCCATTTTCTCACTCAACTGCCCTTTAAGTATAATTAAGTCATGCTCTGAAGCCCTTCAACAATCTGACTATGCACAGACTCAGACTTGTGGAAAGAAAAAGACTCAAAACCTATCCTCAACCGATCTGGGAAAAAGGGAATCACGAAAACCTGTCGGCAAACACTTTGACCGCAACTGTAGCTGAAGGAGCGGCTAAGTGCGTTGCAGACGCTTATATTCCGTAAGCGCGAATCCAAATTCTTCCCTTCCCAATGAGATCCATTTCAGCGACTCGCAGGCGCACCTGTTCGAGGCCGATAAAAACCGACTACAGGGCATTGAATACCTCGGAATCATGTGAACTTTGGAAATCCGACCGAAGGATTCCAACCTTCGTAAAAGAACGAATTTTAGGGGGCAGCGTGTTTCCATACCGATATTGGAATGTCTGTTGTTCAAACCACACATTTCCCTTTTCAAGGCTTCCCTGACCTTCAAAGAGAATTTTCAAATTCTCAGTAATACCCAAACAATTACATTTCATTACTCGTGACATGCCATAGAAATTTTTCGGTAACATTTTTCAGATAATCAATCCTACCACGACGTCCAGTGAGTTTATTTTGTATTTTGTATTCACCACAGTACATGACGGCCATACGGCTCCTACATCAAATTTCTATCACATTTAAATCAATAAACACAGTACAGGATGACGGGAGAACGCGGTTTGATGGCGTCATGACATTGTGGACCCAGACCCCTCAGACGCCCTCAGGGGCGTGCTCCAGTCCACAACAACGCCCAGTACCTAACGTCAGGTAAAAGCGCTTACTCCCCGCCAGCCCACCCCCCCCAGCTGCGTATCATCACCCTTACTATATTTACACGCACACTTCATGGTGATACTATGGGCAGTCAAACGACGTAACAAGCAGCCCTTTTGCGCTTCGCGGACCCGTGTGCGAATGTGGGAGGGATGGAGCTCCGAGCGTAACGACCCACTTCAACTCGGGGGTCCTTAGAACCGCCACAATTTGTGCTTACCTCAGAACTAAGCCTTAAAGAGAGGACGGGTCCGTCCCCTCTCCAAGGCTTAGTCCTGGGGTGAGCAAACCAGCCCTTCTGGCGGAGCTGCTGGACCAGCTGCACCACTTGCGTCAGTACTCTCCTATCGTACCAACCGAGTTGAAGTAAACCGTCGACCGTTGGGGACCCCATCCCCTCCCCAACATTCAGCATACGGTCCCAGCCGAAACGCCAAAAGGGCTGGTTTGCTTACCTCCGTCAACTAATCATGCGCATTGATGACTTTCGTTTCAGAGCAGCAAAGAGGTGAGGCAGTTTGCTCCACCTACTCGCCCATCTTGCTGCTTCTCCCTCGAAATTATATATTCACCATTTCATCAAACTGGTCGTACCAATTAGATCAAATAACGTGAAAGTTCTCGAAATTATTATTATTCACCATTTCATGGAACTTATCATACCAATTATTATAAAATGAACTGGGAAAATTTCTCCAGCTCATTTTTCTTGTGTCAATCACTGTCTTGAGGGCACAACACCATGTACATAATGCGAAATTCATTGCAACGATGAGCCAGGCACTGTATTTTTGGCTCGAATGGGATTGACCAAGCTTCTGTGCTTGCCGTGCATCTTATTCATTCTTTATACCACCAAAACCCCTTGTACTTTTCCTGACAGAAGAGGGGATTTTGAAATTACGTCTTCTCCTCCTAAAATGAAGTAGGCTCTACTAGAGTTTTCGAGTGTGGTACAACCCTTCTGGCGCTTGGCGAAGTTAGGACCAAATAAAACACTGTCTAGGCAAACTGATGTTCTCATTTTACCGTATAAAATGATGAACAGGATAGAGCATCGGCGCTGATTAATCCCTGCCACCCATGCTACTTGCACGAATCGTCAGTCACTTGCGGGGTACCAGCTGATGTATAATACAAGCCAGTGTTTTTATTCCTCCCAGACAAGTCTGGTACCAATTAACCGACCCCGGAGGGATGGAAGGCTTGGTTGGCCCGGGCGACTCACGACCCAGGATTTGATCCCCGGACCGCTCCCGTGGTAAGCGCACCACTTGTCACTACACCGCTTTCGCCTTAATATCACAGTGATCTGTAAGAATCTAGACTTTTTGAAAGAGTGTAAAACTTAAAAAATTCGCTGCTAATAGTGTGGGTACGTAGGGGACCTACACCATTAGTCGCGAACATTTATTCGGGTGCTATCGCAAGATACGGGGCATCGTGACTCCATTGAATTTGAATTTGCGTAAAAGATCTCCTCCTTGGTAAAATAGGAATTAAGCCACAGGAAGGGGCCGTTAGACTTCAGTACGCGTGAGAAATTTTCGTTTTCCCCGAAATTCTCGTTTTCCCCGTTATTCCTGCATCCTACTAGACTAATAGTTAGTCCTTGAGAAGACCCTCGTATCTTGTGACAGCGCCATTTGTGTGATATACTTACAAAGGCACAGGCGATTCTGAACAGATTTCGGGTGCATGGAGTAATTGACAGCTCTTTAGTTTGGTTAAATTAATATAAATCGGATTTTAGCATGCAGAGATCTTGTCAATCCACGAACAGGAATCTCAGACTGTCCAAATGTGGCATATTTGTGTAATAATGCTGCCTATTACGCTCTTATGACACAGCAGTGCCCAAGGACCTGCAACAGATGCCCAGGCACAGCGACTGTGGCCCCCACGACAACAGCCGGTGAGCTTCTAATTCCCAAAAAAGACGGCCAACCTAACTAGCAGTCTAAAACAGCGTTCACTGCAGTGCACAAAGCTCACACCTTGCGAAGTTTTATTCTTGGGGGCTAACCACTGACGTTTTTCACTACTTAACACGTTGACGACAGCGCAGGACACATACGTCCCGCACTTTGCAGGCCACGTCGGACAGCGCGGGACGCATGTGTCCTGCACCCATCTAATTCAGTTTTTTCGCGCACCACTAACTTTTTTCTGGCTCTTTTGTATTGAAATAATAGACCCTACTCTATCATAACTATAAGCGACGTAGTCCGCAGAAAGGTTAGGTATGCCCAAATTTTGCAAGGATTTTTCGAATCCGGCGAAGTCTTTAGTTTCCTGTCATTATTCGACTTCTTTGTGGGAGGAATAGGTAGGTAAAAAGAGTAACAGATAATTAGATGCGGGAATCTATGAATAGCAAAATTCTAGACTATTGTAAGCTTCGCTGATAGGATTTCTATCAAGTGGTGTGAAGGAGTTCACCTTCCAAGACGAAAAGCACTGTTTCGTGTTAATTTATAAACAAATGCATCTCTGGAGAAACACTGCAGAATGTTTTCTACGATTTAGATATAGAAGAGTTGCAGATCTCGAAAAACTGTTCGGATTTACCAGAAATTGAAATAAACAAACAAGATCGTTGAAATTCTCATTGAGAGGGAACAAGTTAGTGTTGCACGGACAATTTGCCACTAAGAGCTATTACTTGAAACATTCCTATGATGAGAAAGTTGGACAATTTGATCTTCCTGTTTACAGTGTTCACTTCCTTAAGCAAGAGGTTGTTTCTTGGAGAAGGTTTGGCTCCTGAAAGAGTCAAAATTCGGAGAAGATTCCCTCGTTATTTTTCAGGTAGGAGCCAAATCCCAATGTGCAGCATAAGTTTAACACTTTATATAAAGTGCAAGTCAAAACTGAAATGCTCTCTTCGTTCTGTAGGTTGACTTTTTCGCCGCATCATGTTTGACTCTTCCTGTTTGAGGCATCGTTGAATTGCGATAAAATTTCACTTTTTTCGCCTTCTTCTGCTCAGATTATGATTCTTATTTTGCACTAGATAGCTCGATGCATTATCTTTATTTACTCGTTCTATTAGAATATTTCAATATCGTTAGTTTTTCTTAGCTAATGACAGGAAAAAATTCTTGATATTGTCAAAAATTCCAATCCTTTTTTCGCCTTCATATTCGTTTGTTCACGGTGAGATTTGGCTAAATAGATTACGTTTCTTAACGCCTCTGCTAAGTAAATAAACTAGCTGTGTTTCGGGCCTTTTTCAGTTGCGACCTCCAAAAAACGCGCCTTGAGAGACAGCGCAGGACGCATGTGTCCCGCGGCCGCCGCGCTAGCAAAATCGCACATGTCCATCGCGGCCAAAATGACCAAAACGCGCGTTGTCGTCAACGTGTTAATACTATTTTCAGCATGACAGGA